ATTCAAACTATGAAGAGGGATATCGTAATCATAATCAAATTTGAGAACGCAATTAACACAACTGCTATCTCCTCAAAATCTTCTTAATGAAAGTGTTTCCTCACAATCATTTTCATGAAGTGGAGAGAAACCTTATGTCACTTAGATTTTATGGTGTATGTGTTCTTATCAATGTGAAACTGTCATTTCCAACCATTATCATTAGATAAGGTCTATGGCAGATTCAAACTCATATGGACTGAACTTTTTCAATCTTAATTTCTTGCCACTTGGCAGCACAAGGGCCTACCATGTCTTCCAAGTTGTTGAGCATATCACCCTTACCGATCAATGAACTTTCACTGATCAAGGTGCTTTGCCTTATGCAAACAATTGTGAACTCATAGAACTCACATGCATATTCAACTTTAACTGAAATGGCACAGAAACAAGAATATGTCAACACGATAAGTTACAAACCTCAAGTCGTGTGCTAGTGATAAACAATAGGTTTATTCTTGATTAGTTCTTGAAATTTTCAAGATCTTTTAAGACTCTCACTGACTTCTTGACATATAAGATTCTATTATCAAGGACCATTCCTTGACAAACAAATATTCAAGAGTTAGTGCGGATTCTTATCAAGACAACACTTCATACAATTGGTCTTAGTTGGTCTTTGTCTTATCCAATACATCACAACTACCATTTTCAAATGTGTTATAAACCTACTTAAGATATGTCACTTAAGGAACAATCTTGGAGTATGACTCTAATACTTGATTTTGGAATGAAGTATGACTCATCTTAATTGATTTAACCATTTCAACAATTCCCGGTTCCTCTTCTTAGCCATACAAGTGCACTAAGGTGTCCTTAGAGGATCAATTGTGATATGGTTTTCATAATCATTAAGATGATTATAAAACACGATACTGAAGTGCTCTCCTTTCCTTTCAGATTGCTCTGAAGAAACTTTTATCTTTCTGCCTAATTTGATTCTTCTTATTCGTTCTGCTATACATTGAAACTTTTTCAATGATTCAAAATTACACTTAATCTTGTAAGTATAACCATATTTACTAACTTTAGTAAGTCATGACGAATAGTCTTATCGTTCTTTGTGGTGGACTTGGACTAGTACACAACAATTTGTACTAGATTCCCTAGTCCTTCACTTGACTCACATATGCATGTGAACAAGGAATTAGTCTTAATTTCCTAAAGATGAAGGTTCTCATTCATTATGCAATACAAGTTGCATGATTCCAAGTTTCTGTCCAATTGAAACTTTTGTGATGAGAATCTTTCCTTATTTGATAAATTTAGACACTACCACAAACGATAGAATCAAATCCATTTTATTGCTAAACAATAGATACATATAAACATCAATTTTCACATATGCCATTGTAAGGAAATATAAAATAAGATAAAATCAAAATTTTTCTTTATTTATAAAAATGCGGAAAATATTGTCCTTACAATGCATGTACATATGAAAACTATGTTTCTAAATATTCCTAAGCAATCTATCATAACTCCTAAGCAGCAACTCAAAACTCTGATCATCGAATCATGCGATCGAAATCCATCTTTTCGCGATCAGACTCAGCCTGCTCTTTCTTTAAGCTTCATTTCTCTTCTTCGATCCTACAAAACATCAAAATGTGATCTCATCACATCATGTATTAAGAATCTTCAAATAGGAACTTAATAGAGTTAGATATTGGACTTACCTGAAGCAGAGTCATACATTTTGACTTTACCATCCATATGGTCCTTCAGGTAGATACGACAACTCCACATCCAATGCCCCTTCTCTTGGCAGTAGAAACAAACAGACTCTTTTGAAATGGCACACGGGACAATCTCAGACTTAGCCTTTCTCTTTACCATTTGGTCAAACGGCTTCACCATGGCCGATCCCTTTCCATTGGGAAGAGAAGACTTTTTTGGACTTCCAATTTTTCCATTGTCAATGTCCATGGAAGTTTGGGACATAGATCTTACAATTAAAATTGCTTTACCAGTGCGCCAAATCATTTCTGATTCAGCAGCAATTAGCAAATAGGTAAGATCGATAAGGGTCACATCGCGGTCTGTCATATAGTAATCTTTAATAAGCTCACTATATGACATAGGAAGTGATTGAAGAACCAAGTCAACAACAAACTTCCTTGACACAATGACTCCCAACATTCCCAACCTGTCAATGTGTGACATCATCTCCAAGACATGTGCACACACAAACCTTCCATCTTGGTGTTTGCTTGCCAATAGGGTTTGAGTGACCTTGAAC